CAAGAGGTCGTCATCTCCAACCCGCTGCGAGCAGTCACAGAGCGACGCACAACGATGTTCAGGCCTTTAAGATTTATTTAAAACACTAATGCTAACACACACACACACACACACACACACAATACATATTTCTTTCTCCTCCCAGCCTCATGCAAGTCATTTCCCAGAGGGGCTGATGGAGCTGGGAGCTGTTGACATGTCCTCCTTTTCAGTCACTGAGCTGCGTCTCTGCTATGGTTCCAGTTTAAGCCATCGGCACCTTCAGTGGGGAAAAAGAAGCGTGCAAGGAAAACCGAAGCAATCCATGCAAAAGCAAATAATGAAATAAAATCTTGTTTTAATCAAAGTATATCTGCAATATGCTTCTAAACAAACAACTCTTGGCAATGCATGCCTCATTTTTGGACACATTACTTGACAAAGACCAAAATGCAGCCGTCACCTGTGCACATGTTTTGTTCAAACTGGAGAAGCAGTTAAAAAGCCTGTCGTGCTGTTTCCAGCTTCCACTCCTGGAATCTAAGCTAATAGTGCTGAAAAACAAACAGTAAATAAGCCCAAAAGAGGGAAGCTGAGCTGCTCAGGAACCAAACAATACATCAGCACCGCTGCAACAGAGCCTCCGGCCTGTTCAGCTCAAGTCACTTTAGTTACTCTGCCTGCGGGGATTCAAGTCATCACAGTGTCGACCGAGCCAAACAGAAACTGGTTTTCTCTGCGCTGAGTAAACACCAGGCCTGACTAATTGTTTAGGCTGGTGTTAGGAAGAAGTCAGAGACGACTCTGCAACTATTTGTGTGTCATTCAGCCGCTCGCTGATTGTTTTTCCAAGGTGTACCACCGAATGAGTCTGTTCATTTATAGCTATCCTTCAAGCGACTTCATAGTCGGCCTCATCACTGATGGGGACGACAAGGAGTACAGAGGACTGACTCAAGGCTTTGTGGACTGGTGCAGCTGAACTACCTCCAGATCAACGCCAGTAAAACCAAGGAGCTGGTGGTAGACTTCCACAGGCACAAGCATCCTCCACTGCAACCACTGAACATCCA